GGCTTCCCGATAGACAGAAAGTAACTGGTGGGCCTTATGATCTCTGTTGCAACTATTCAGCGTGTGCCCACGTCCTCCCCCTCATGGGCCACGTCCCCTCAGTCTCTTTGGCAGGCTCTCCTCCCTGCCCGTCCTCTGAAGCTTGAACTGTCCCCCGGCCTTGACCTCTCTGCGGTCCCTCCCATCCATGAGGCGCATTTGCTCTCCGGGACCTTTGCTGTTACTGTCCCCGCCGCCTGGCAGCTCTTCCCGAGATTTACAGAGCTGGCCCCTTCTCTCTCTCAGGTCTCAGCTCAAGTATCACCTCCTCCGAGTGGCCTTCCCTGACGCTAATCACCCGCTGCCACGCTGCTCTGTTCCTGTCTGGCATTAGGCTAGATGCTCAGTTAATACTTGTCCCCATGACACTTGACTTACAAACACAAGTGGCAGACCAGTTTGGCCTGAGGGCCACAGCTAGCAAACCCCTGCACTAGACCCATATGAGTCACAGTCTTCATACGTGAACAGTTCTTTGCCATCATAACTGGCGGTCAGTCATGACTTAGGTGAGGCATTCCTGAAACTGCGAGGGAAGGCAGCAGCAAAATGTTCCTTCTCCACATTCCCTGGCCCACGAAAAGGAAGCACCAGAGGCCTGGCGTGGGTCTGACCACTCAGCGGCTGTCAGCTGCCTCTCCCTCTCAGCTCAGAGACAGGAACAGGATGGAAATGCCGCACCCGGCCCCTTGCCAGCTGCCTCCCCTGCAGAGACCAGCAACTCTCGGGAGGCATCGACTCTGCACAGATGTGGGGACCTCTAGTTCCAATGCATTCGTCTGTTTTACCAAATCTTCACATTCCAAAAGCAATTTGCAAGATGGGCTGCTGTTTCATCCACATAGTGGAACAGTGAAAAAATTCACTCATTTGAAAGGGTATGTAAATTGGGGGCATTTTAAACAACCCCAGGTGTAAGGTACAGCAGAAGGGTGGTAGTTACAATGCTGGTGACCCAAATCCCACCATTGCATCATGAAGCATAAACACCTGCTCCCGCATATCATACCTTCCCCAACTCGACCAAATTCCAGGGCCAGAAAGGAGCCTCCTGGCCTTAGCACACAGTAGGCCCACAGGAATATTAGTCTCTCCCCTCCTCTAGGCATGTCATAATTAAGGTCATTGTCATTTAGCTAGTGGAAAGATAAAGCCAAACATGGTGGGTGACTTTGAGCAGGTCTTGTCAAGTTTTATATAGGGAGCGGAGCTGACTTCTGTGGGTTTTGCCCACCTGGGACCACGTGTTCGTCAGAAAATGCCGCATCCCGGGTCACAAGCACTAACCATGGCACAGACGTAGGTGTGGCTCGGGTCTGGCCAGGCCCCAGAGACTGCGGCTGGCCCACCACCTTCCCCAGCACTGACACACAGTACTGTGAAACGGAAGCTCTCTTTCTGTCGGGCCTGCAAATGGGGCTGATGTAGGCTCGATGCTGCTGGGTGACGGAAGCCGGTCAGCAAAAGCCGAAAAGCGGTTTTCCCAAACCGCTCACAGTCAATCGTCGTCATCTCCACTTTTGTGGATGTGTGCCCAGCGTCTGCCCCTGCCCCGGCCTCGGGCAGAGCCGTGACTGAGCAAACAGCCTTGGCCCTGGTGTCAATATCTGGCAGTTTCTAGCAAAATGGTCTTTCAGGGCTGATCCGAGCGCCGGCCCAGAGCCTTGATGGAGGAAAGAACAAGGTCAACACACAAAGGGACGCAGAGCGAGGAGACTAGGACAGACCCGGGAACCAGACCAGCATACAGCCCAGGTATTCTGGACTTCTCCACGACGTGATCCGTGAAACGCCCCCATTTTGCTTAAGCTAGTTGGAGTTGGGTTTCTATGAGTTGAAACCGAAAGAGCCTTGAGTGACACAGAAGAGCCTTGAGTGACACAGAAGTAGGAATACCCTTTGCTGGGAGGCTCTCAGTCACCGTCTAGTCACGTAACAGACGTTTATGGAGTGCTGTTCCAATTACCTAACACATTACCCCAAAACTTAGTGGCCCAATACAACCATATATCATATTCACAGATTCTGTGGATCAGGAATTTGGGGAGAACTCAGCAGGGCAGTACTCACTTGGGGTCTATGAAGTGGCGGCAGTCGGATGTCGGCTGGGTCTGCAGTCATCCGAAGACTTGGCCAGGGCTGGGGGGTCCACTTCCTAGGTGCCTCACGCACGTGGCTGGCGGGCTGGACTGGCTGTTGGTCACAGCCCCAGCTCCTCTCCACGAGACAGCCTGAGTGTCCTCAAGCCAGGCAGCTGGCTTCCCCCCGAGCCAAGGTGGGAAGCACATTGCTTTTTATGACTCAGCCGAAAGAGTCGCACATCTTCCCTCACTCCTGCCATCTTCCTTCCATTGGTCACAGGCCGGCCTGACTGAATGTGGGAGCGGACCACACAGGGCAGTGTGGCTCACTGGGGACCACCGTGAGGCTGGTACCTATCCCAAGCACCCACCCTGTGCACGGGACCGGACATACAGATGAGTGAGACACAGTTCTCACACCTAATGAACACTCGGCCTAAGCTAGGCGGAATGCAACCACGCAGACTTTGTCCCCCAAAGCCTTCCCAACTCTGCTCTCTGGGTTCCTCCAGCTTTTCAGGAAAGGGGAATCCTGCCTATTAAGGAACTGAATTTAAGCGTTTAGTTACGTAGCTCTTGGGTTCCAGAAACAATGCTGATGGGACGATTAAAAGGTCCTCCCTCACCTCCATCCCTCCCATGACCCAACCCTCCTCACGCACACGGCCACACGTCTCCATGCCTTTACTAACTTTAGTACAGCTTACGCCCACACCTCCTGCACACGACATTCATTTTCTACACCCCTGGGTTATCCCCCGACGACATGGCATGTAACTGCATTGTCTCATTTTGCACAGCAGGGACAGTAGGGTCTAGTGGTCTCTAAGGGTCAGGAGCTCTTAGACCTCGGTTCAAATCCCAGCTCTGCCACTTAGTAGTTGCAAGGTCTCAAGTGTCAGTTTATTCCTCTATAAAATGGGACTGAAAGGATATGCACTCGTAAGGTCATGAAGATCCCAGAGCATGTGCGTGAAAGGGCTCAGCACAGCGCCTGGCACACGGTAACAACTCAGGGAAGGCTGGTCTCTGCTGCTGGTGCCCTTAACTCGGGAGGGCAACCATTCACCTTTGCCTGGTTCCGTGAATCTCCTCTCCTCAGTTAGACCACTAGAGTTAAGCACAAGCACTGCCTATTCCCTCTGCTCTTCTCTGCAGCCCCCGGCCCCTCCGCGCCTACACGCACGTGGTCATGCCCACCTGCGGCCCTGCCCATGCCCCCATGTCCGACAATCCTTGCCGGCTGGTTGATAACATTCAGAACCAGAAAACCCAGAAAAGAAGACGAAGGTAAAGCCAGCATCTTAGAATGACACCTCCCTGAACATCTTTCGGGTGTCTGCGTTGAGACTTTACGATCACTTTCGTAAGCAAAAATGCACAAGCAATGGAGTCCTCCGAAAACCTACCATTTTAGACATTTTAAAAAATTGTCTCAGGGGAAAAAAAAAACTGTCTTATATAACTTTTGCCCCATTCAAAATCCCATAACAACGCTAACACTTACACCTCACAGGGGGGATCAGAGTTCTGTCCAGGAAATGAAAAAAGTACAGATAACTTCCAAACGGTCGCAGAAACACATCAGCTTTTTTCCAGGAACAGAGCGAGTTGTTTAGGAGTCCCAGCAACACCAAAGGTGACTGTGGCCAGCGACGGCGGAAGACTGCCACTTAATGGCGGCCTCTGGAACTGGATGGAATGTGTTGACATTTACTTGTATCTTTCACAAGCTTTTAACCTTTATACTGTGTCGATAAAAAGCCCCATTAACATTTAAAAGGGATGTTACTAGGTGTCCACTTGGAATAACAGTAAGAAAACACTCCAAGAAACAGATTATGTATCTCCTGTGTCCCAGATGCCCAAGAGTTTACTTCCTACCACAGTAAAAAAAAAAAAAAAAATGCAAACTGGTGAAAAAAATAAACAACCCAAGGGAGACGAGCTGGAAACACAGGCGACTCTTCAGGGGGCCACCCAGAGTCTGGAAACCCTCAGGCTGACCTTCCACCGAGACCTTCTGCCCTATTTTTCCTCTGTCCACTCTGTATCCTTCTAGACTTGGCTCGAAGGTCACATGCAGGAAGCTTCCCTAAGCCCTCAGGTGGGATCGGACCTCTGCTCGGTGCCCCCACGGCCACTTGAGCTTCTTCCAACACGAGGCCCTCTGCTCCCTGCACTGCCCTTGTCCACTTCCTGGCTGGCCTCCCACCCAACAATGGGTCATGCGTTCTGTGAAGGCAGGCGCCGTGTGCCCATCGAAGCCTTCGCTCATCCACTCCTCACACAATGCCCAGCACACGCCAAGGAGCAACAGTGTCGTCTACCCATCTTCATATCCCCAGAGCCCGCCATATGGGGTACTCACTAAATGCTGGATGGACGTGTCCTCTTCTTCAACATGACTTAATTACTTACTTCCTGTAAGAGCTGAATGAACGCTGTGGGAAGCTGTGAATTCCTGTGGCTCCCTCCTGCAAACCGGCAGCCTTCAGGCCTCACGTGTCCTACATACATGTTGTGTGGGACCAAAAAGCACGTGGTCTTTTTAAAAACTGAGTTTGCTGCTAACATTTACAACAGAAAGATTTCACACAAAACGCTCTTTCTGGCTCCTCCAGAAACATGAGTGCACGCTCCGGGCAGCGCCCCAGCGAGCTCCAGTGAGAAGCTGGCTCCTACAGACCCTGCCACAAGCACCACCATCCTGCTTCGCCACCACACAGGCCACAAAACAGCCACCATGTAAGACTGCACCTTGGCTGAGGACCCTCTCGACCCAGCCCTTCACTCAGGACCTGTGGCCCCCTCTGGACATCGCAATTTGCGAGCCTGGCCTTACGCCAGTGTCATCCAAGGACTACGTCTGAGATGAGCTACAACACAAATGAACGGGTAATTTTATTGATTTTTACCTCCTAACATACCCTCCTGGTGGCAGATACACGTTGTGCGGTGTCCAGCAGGGACCTTGGATGCAAAGGGACATGAAGGGAGAAGGGAACTCCAACAGGTACTTCGCGATGGGAACCCCCCCTCAACCCGTTAACTGGAATTCTTCCTGCAAATGAATGCTCATACCACCAGCACAGCTTAAATACCTCTTTGACAAAAATAATAATAATAAATTATCTTCAACTCAGAAAATAAATTGTGCTCAGCAGAGTGACAGACAGGAGGGTCCATTCAATGCATTGCACCGAGGGGCCGGACAAGGGGAGGACATGCCGGCCGGCAGAGGCGCCCGGGGCACAGAGCAGGCGCTGAAGTCAGTCAGATGCAGACTTTCGTGCCAGCGACGGCCAGGGCCCCTTGGCTGTGGCCTGTCCCCAAGTGAGGCTTCACTGCCCCTCCTCCTCCTCACGTCCGCCTTGTCTTCTGTTTCTTGGCTTGTCTCTTTGCATCTTCTGGGCCACTACTGTCAGAGGCTGTTTGGCCAAGAGCCCGGACGCCCTGCAGTCGACTTGTCAGCTGCAACAGCAAAGGAATGAGCTGGAAAGAGAGGGGGAGCGTGAGAGAGAGGGGTGGCCAGGACACTTCTGCCCAAATGGGCACTGGAGCCCTCCGTATCAGCACACCTCCATCATCAGTCCCGGTCGCCACCTACTACGTGCTAACAGGTGACCTCAGTTCAAAATGAAGCAGGGTGCCGGCCGAGTGGCTCAGCTGGTTAAGAGCTCACTCAAGAGTGCGAGCTCTGAGCAACAGCGGTGCGAGTCCCAGCCCGAGCTGAGCAGCCACTGAGCTGCCAACAGGTGGCAGGATGGCTCAGCTAAAAAAAAAAAAGCAGCAGGGCTTTGCACTAGAGAGGGTTAGCAGAGACAGGCTGGCTCCGAATGTGAGCAACGCATGCCTACGCGTGTCCCAGGCTTAAAGATCAGGAGAGATGTTACAAGACGTTTATGGCTTTGAAGAGAGGCCTTGGGGTCACCCTCGAGGTCCTTACGGTCCTTTCGAACCCTAAAATGTCATTTCTATAACACTGGGCATCCTTCTCTGTCATCTCCCAGCTGTGAGGGACCACTGTCGCTGACATACCCATTTCCTCGCAAGGTCTCTGGATCCCCTACCTTATCGTGGTTGTAGCCGGCCAACAAGACAAGCAGCGTAAGAGGCAGGGCGATGTAGGAACCCTGTGCGATGTCTTGCTCAGGCAGCTTCCTCTGCAAACAGCAAGAGCACCGTCACTCACCTGCCACCCACTACCCCACAGCTGTGACCCAGCAGCCCTGCGAATCGGCTACCCCCAGACGCTGGGCCATCCCACACATGATCCAAACTCTCTTTATCCAAAGTAAGGAACTGAGGCAACTCAGATCAATGTTCAGATGCGCCCTCTGCTATCCAAACTCATTTCTCGCTCCCTGAAATGCAGGAACAGTCCATCGCCAGGTATTCCTTACCCGCTGAACTTGATCTAAACTGAGGGAACCAAGCGCTGGGGAGCGGGGAGTCCCTGTGGGGGATAAGTGAACGGATCGCATTTTGTTGAGCCCCAGCTACACACAGGGGCCTCCTCCTATAAGGGTGTATCGAGAGCCCACTGTTCCTGGCTCAGGCACATGGTGGTAAATGAGCTGGTCCCAGAAACGACACCGAGGGAGATGGAGCAGCTGCTACTACCCAGGGGCCATTCGCCCCTTCTTCCAATAGAACCCTCAACTTTCATCTGAACCAATCAGCACACGGAGCATACGTCCGTTCTTCTTTGCAGTCTGGTTGATACGAGATCCAATAAGGTCCACAGGTTGCAACTGGCAGGTAACTGAGTAAGTTTCCTTTAATCTACAGGTACCCCGTCTGTATGTTTTTGGTTTCCTTCTCTTACAATCTGTCAAATAAGTCAGGCTCCAGGTGGTTTTCTTGCAGTTGCCCACAACCTACATTTTGTGGCGTCCCTTACATGCTCCTGCGTCCTCTACGTATGTCCTGAAAATTGGCAGCTGGCTCTAGAAGTTTGGGCGGGTTCAAGTATCATGTGCCTCCTGGAGGACCACAATGCCATCAATCATGACAGAAGGGCGCAGTGGTGACCTTCATCCCCAAAAGTCACGCCTGAGCCACTGACCTAAACAATTCCACCCCCTCACTGCCAGTCTCCTGAACAGGAACTGAGGGCATCGGCACCCAGACAAGTAGAAACGTATCCGGGGAAATCCAGAACGCAAACTCCAGGTGCTAAAGGGGCCCAAGGCCAAGGGCCCGTTACACAGCTGTCCTCCCTCCTCCCAATACCCAGGCCACAGGTTGTGTGAATTTTCCTTCTCCCGCCAGCCCCGTGCTCCCTCTTCTTACCGTGGGATTAAAAATCAAGGTGATGTGCTTATGGTAGCCCACGGCGGTGAAAGAAACTTGAGGCAAGACGTAGTCATACTGGGATCTGGGGAGCGTGGAATCCAGGAGCACCACGTAATTCTGAACACAAAAAGTGATTTTTATAAAGGGCATTTTGGGGCAAAGCAAATGAAAACTAAAACTTGCCATACAGCTGTGATGTGTAGGGCTTTATGTTTCTAGCAAATTCCCCAAGTTTACACATCCACACCAGGGTCACTCAGCCAGGAAGGCACCGAGCAGGCTTGCAGCCTAGGGGAGCCCAAGCTATTTTCACAGTGCTGTGCTGCCTCCAGAATCTAGTTCAGGGGGTATCCGGAGAAATGGGGAGGGAACCCCAAATTCTATCACAAACTATCTCACTGCTGTACAGCCATTTCACACACAGAAAGGCCACAGCATGTCACCCCTATGGCAGGTGGTAACAAGCCGGGAGACAGAACGGCACATCACAGGCTCACTGCTGACACCCTCAGGCACAGGCCCCCAGAAAGGAACCAGATTCTTTGCAAAGGAGGCTCCCATCACGCCAACTACAATAGTTTGCTCTGTCCAATTAGAATTGATAATAAACATTCTGTAATCAGTAAATGATGTCTGACCGTAGGGCCCTGGTTAAATCAGTTACAGTATTTCCTATACTGTGGATGACTGTACAACCATTAAAAATCATGTTATAAATGATTTAATGATGAGGCAAAGATGGGTGACACAGTCAAAATTGAAAAGCACAGACTACAAAATAACATACAAGGGAGTCTCAGCTTTGAATGCTGAATGTCAGAGCTACCCCTTCCAGGGTCCACGATGACACGTTTCTACATAAACATATCTGCATATTTATACTTGTACACATATGTGCACACACATTGAAAACAGACCAACAGGGTACTTATGAACAGTAGTTGTTTTTGGATGATGGGGTTATGTCTGATCCCCACTCACCCCCAAACTCTCCTGCCATGAATGTGTATTATTTTTGTAAACAGAAAAACACTAATTAAGAAAAATATTCCCAGAAAAAAAAAAGAAAAAAGAAAAGAAAAATAATCCCGGGCAGCCAGATGGCTCAGTTGGATAAGGGTGTGAGCTCTGAGCAACAGGGTTGCCGGTTCGATTCTCATATGGGCCAGTGAGCTGCACCCTCAGCAACTAGATTGAAGACAATAACTTGAGCTGAGCTGCCGATGGGTGGCCAGATGGCTCAGCTGGTTAGAGCGCGTGCTCTTAACAACAAAGTTGGCGGTTCGACTCCCGCATGGGATGGTGGGCTGCGCTCCCTCCCCCTCCACCCCCGTAACTAGACTGAAAGCAGCAACTGGACTTAGAGCTGAGCTAAGATTGAAGAACAACAACTTGACTTGGAGCTGATGGGTCCTGGAAAAAAACACAATTTTCCCCAATAAAGTTTAAAAAAGAAAAAGGAAAGAAAGAAAGAAAAATAATCCCTACAGAGCCCAACCTCCTTTGATTCAGAAAGGACAATGTCGACCATTTCTGCAGAGTGGTACTTAGGGAGAAAATGAGAGAATTGTGCTTCCGTGAACTAAAAGTGGAATAAAAACAAAGACGGAACCGAGAACGGCGCCACGGCCGTTACCTGGCCATCTCTGAGCAGAGGCGGGAAGTGGAAGAACAGGGACTGGCCGAGGGAAACCGTCTGAATCGGGTTGTCGAGGTTTTCACTTTTGTAAAGCTTCACCTGGAGGGGAGAAACACAGCAGGGCGGGCTTTTGAATGGAAACGCAATAAGCCTTTCATTTCAGAAAGAGTCTTTGTTAACATGGATATTTGAAAGAGAAACTGGCCTGCCCTGAAAGGCCACACGTGTAATACATCCCTCAGTCATCCGAGACTCCAGTTACGTGACATGCAAAGAAAAGTAAGATGTGAAATAGATTGTGATGACATACATTAATGCTCAAAATAGTAATAATACTCACTATAATGATCATGTTAAAAAGAATAGTTTCTAACATATATACATAAGCCGGGCAGGTAGTAGGTGCCTTAGATATATTGTCACCAATCCTGGCTACTCAACAGGCATCATTATTATTTGTGCCTAAGGAGACTCAGAGAGCCTGTGTCTCCTCAGGTTGCACAATTTATACATGGTGGATCCTGGGACTCAACCCATGTCACTGAGGGTCTCACCCTCCATCCCTGCCTCTCCATACACTGTAACCTTAACTCCACAGGTATTCGTTAAAGTCGAAATGCCTCCTTCTCATTCTGCATTTGGTCCTCCAGGCTGCTTCCAGAAAGTTTAGTGCTTTGTTTCTGGCCTTTATCTCCAGCCCGGGTTTGCTGCCCGCTCTCACACCGCGTAATGAGGCATGAGAAGAGGAAGCTACAGCGCTGGCTGAGGCTAGAGGCTGTGAGGGCTCCACCCTGCACCTGCCACTGAATGCCAGAGCCACCCCTCCCAGGGTCCACGCTGACACGTTTCTACAGAACACACAAGTCAAGACGAGTTTTCCTAAAACCAAGTCACAGTAAATACTTGAGGCCTATGGGTCACATCCAAGACTATGTATGTGTTCCTTTGGCCTGAACAGGGTTCTAAATGAACTTGAATTCATTGCTTACATTTAGAAATCAGGTGATTTCAAATAGCTCTAACTTCCAGCTTGAAAACTGGAAAGTGATGTCAACCCTGGGCCAACACAGCAACAATCAGAGGGAGTGGAATGGCACCGTCCCTTCCCATCATGCCCCCGTCGGATGGGGCATGGCTTCTCCCGTTTGCCCCACGCCCACCCACCCTCCTCACTGGATTTACTTGTCTGGCCCTCAAAGGCAACCCTTGGACTGAAGGGCAGTGAAGAGGTGGGTTAAAACCTAAATGCACATGCTCACCCAGGTCTAACACTTCGCTGTCTGTAAGATTATGAGTCCCTCTGAAAAATGCACTCCCGTGGAAATCCATTAGCATCTTCCAAAGGGTCGCAGGGCACTGTATAAACATGTCTTCATTAATCGCAGACATGGACATTTTGGTAGAGCTTGAAGAGACCTTAAGGTCACTGAGTCAAACGCCCTGGCTTTACAAGAGGAGGGAACTGAGGTGCATCGTAGTGAAGTGACTGTCCAGAGTGGCAAGGTGAGTGACCACGGTGACAGGACACGGCCCAAACCTCCTGAGTTCTGGTCCACTGCCTACCACCTCCAGCCAGACAGAATTTAAAGTTATGAGGCACTTGGCCTTAACATTGTCTCTCCGTTTCAGACTCCAGATTGTATTGATCATTCATTAGGCTTCTACTATAACACTTCCGCAGATACACACTGCTAGCAAAAACAGTTATCCGAAACCGGAAGGCTTTTTCTCTCCAGCAATCAGCAACCATTCTCCCAGAGATACCCGCTGGGATGGAAGTTTCTTGAATCTCAACCTCAACCCTCTTGGCATCTCCACCCTAAAGCAAGCACTAGACAGGCCCAGACACCCTCCTCCCACTCGTCTCAAAGTCGAAAAGAGCATTATTTTCACCTTAAAAACAAAACAGCCTTACCCATAATGTTGGAAGATACTCGGAAGAAGTGATCACGTTTCCACTCAAGTCGAATTGATTAATCTGCCGGAAAACAATGATGTTCACATCGTCGATGTCGTTATTCCCGACCTAGAAAGAGATAAAGAATGCTGGCGTTAAGGAAGCGGGAAGACAGACCTCTCCGCTGTCCGAGGGGCTGTTCTATAACAAATTTCCCTTCTTATATGAGGGGAGCAAAGTCTGCCACAGATGGAGCCTAGGTCCAAGGTCACAAACCGACAGTAAGCAGATGGGCTACACCTGGCCCACACACACATTTTGTTTGACAAGCACAGTATCTGTTTTCCAAGTTAAAAAAAAAAAAAAAAACCAGTGCTACCATTTTTAAAAATTGCATATTCAATAAAAGCCAGATTTTCCAGCATCTCCTGGAAAAAAAAATATATATATATATATGTTCTTGCCTGGTGGCCATCAGCAGCTGAGCCACATTCTGCCCCCGCTGGGTAGGCCTGTGCTCATCTGTTTGTCACGTGTCCATACCTGCCAGGCCATAGTCCACACAACTGCTTGTGATTCTGGCCTAAGTCACCACGGCAGGGAAATATAGACCTGTAAAATGCAGCCATCACAGCCATTTAAAACGCCAAGGGCCATAAAGACATCAAGAAAATCCACCTGCCGGGCCAAACAGCCCTAAGTGGCCCACCAACTCCCTCTCTAGCTCCTCACAACCTTCATGCCTAGTGCCACCTCATAAAGCCACCAACAGGCAGTCCCTCTGGTCCCACCCCGGCCCTCCCTCCAGTCTAGCAAATCAGTTATTCCGTGGCAGAAAAGCTTCCCTTTAAATGAGGCCCGGCCACTTCCTGTGACCTGGAGGGCTGCTGCTTCAGGGATCAATCAGCTAAGTCACCGTCTGGGAGATCAAAAGACCCTGCCCACCAAATGGAGGGAAAAAACAAGGTCCTCTGCACGTAAGGAAGCTGGATGGCCCTGCTACCAAGGAAGCCCGTGGTCTCATTATTACATTCCCTTGATTGAAAATGCTACTTGTGCCTTAAGAGCCTTAACTTGCAGAATGATGATCAGAGCTTGCAGGGGACGTGGGGAAACAAGGAGTTCAAATTTCTTCTCTGGATGCCTGACAGCCATGCTGTTCATTAAAAACCCCACATAAGACGCTGCTTGGGAAGATGACACTATTCCAGGAGGATCCTTAATTAGGATTTGAAGTCCCCCCCACCCCACCCCAACCCTGCCCCCACAGCAGATGAAAGGCAGCCAGCCAGAGGAGCACGACACGATTTCTGATCAGGGAAGTAATCACCCCACAAGGGCGCTGACGAGTTTCATGCCTTACCGCAATCACCCGGTGGTGGGGGAGGGCCCGCTCTATGTGGTCGTTGCCTTCTGCCTTGAGCTGAACGTGATACACACACCCCGGCTGCAAAGGAAACCCAGGCGTCACTTCTCCAGAAAGAGGCTTGTCATAGCGCTGCCTGTGCTGCCTGCAGGTCCTCCCGAGGACGCAAGCTCCTCTGCCTCACCAGAGCTCCCGGTCTGCGGCCTGTCCACCTTCTAAAGGGTTCCTTTCAAAGGCACCCTGATGAAACATTTATCTGATGGTCTGCGATTCCTCCCATCCCCACTCACTTTCCTCTACCCAAGAAAAATTAAATGTGGTTCCTCAGTTCAAAACTGTAAGCATGATACGCTCTTATTCTGATAAAATTCTTCTTTACTTGCTGTCCACCCCTCCCTTCTATACACATATGCATCCAGAGGTATCTGGAATGACAGCCCCCAATGTTTACCACGGATGTTATTTCCAGGAAGTAGGATTTCAGGTTTTCTCCTTGTTTTCAAAAAAAAAACATTTCCTCCTTTATAGTTTTTATTCTATTGCTCAAATTTATAGGCATACAGCATGTTCACCAAAAAAGCCACCATTCTGAATAAACGTTTTTGTGACACTGCACATTATGAAGGATACATACATATACATTTACTCGGATAATTTTTTGGCAGACAGTGGTATTTTGTTCTAAGAAAGCCAGCCCATGATGATAATCCTCCAAAGAGATGGAAGTCAGTTGGCTTGAAGAAATGCAGTTTTCTGTTTGTTTTTTACACTGCTGTATGGGCTGGTGGCAAAGTAGATCAAGAGGGGTATGAGTTCAAAAGGGAATGTCTAGAAAGGCTGCAAATCAGAAAAAAAATGCAGCTTAAAAGTAAGGGTTTTGGTACAAACGAACTCATTGTTTGTAAACTTCTGAATTGTTTTTTCCTTACACACATATTGAAAGAAAAGATCTGTCTCTTTACCCCGAAGGTTAAAAGATCACTTACACTAGCTGAGTTAAAAATAAAACTTCTACCATCACTCATTTCTGTCACCAACAGCACAACTGGTCCAATGACACATGAGGACCCAGAGCACCAGGCCAAATTCAAAGGTGTCTATATGCATCTCAGAGGGGACACCCCGAAGATTGCGACCGTTTCTTTTTAAATTAGCGTGGATAACATGGTTCTGGTCTCAGGCCTAAAATCGCGTGTGCTGTGACGGTCTCTGTACGCAGTGTCAGGGATGGCGCTCACTCAGTGCTGGCTTTGTGGTGGTTTTCCCCCCTTCCAAACTCTCCTTTTGAACATGTTGCTTGAACTATTGTATAATGAGCACATGGTACTTTTACAAAGACAACAAAGCTGTTATTTTTTTAAAAAATGAGAACCATCAAATTTATGATCACCCAGACACATGAATTTGCTTTCCAGCTCATTTAAAACTGGCAGCATCGGCTTCTGCACATGAGAGAGGAAAGGCGTGGGGAGCAATTTGTGAAGGAGACATAGCCCTGCTGAAGCTGGGAAGTGGCACTGCCCACTCGCCCAAGGGCCTGGGCCAGGCAGGGGCCCGCTGGGGCAGCGGC